TTCCACCATAATTTGCAAATAAATTCTTTCCAAATCAGCCAATGTGATTGTCTGGATTTTTTTTCTCATTTTGTCTCTCATAGTTGAGGTCTACCTATGATGCCAATTACAGGCCTCTCTCATATTTTTAAGTGGGAGAATTTGCACAATTGGTGGCTGACTAAATACTTTTTTGCCCCACTGTACATCATAGGTGAAAAAAATTTTTCCATGCATGTGACTCTGTGCTTTTAAAACCACTCGTGTTCTCCACTTCTAGGTGTAAAATAAATCCTCCGAATGGCAGCAATGCCTGCTCACCTCCCCTCCTTGACCCTCACAGGGCCGCAGAGCTGTTTCTACCTCAGTGGTATATCCCTCCTGGCAAACTCCTTGTTCCTTCTCCTCTCTTAGTTCTCCACTCCAAACTGCTGTGCCTGTGTCTAGCTGCTCTGCTTCTCTCCTTCCCCCTTCAGTCTGTGAGCTGTCTCTACTCCCTTCTACACTCATTGAATCCGACTGCCAAACCCCAGTGTGATGTCATCCTTGTCAAGGATTCAATGAATGTAGAAGGGAGTAGAGACAGCTCACAGACTGAAGGGGGAAGGAGAGAAGCAGAGCAGCTAGACCAGGGGTGGGCAAACTTTTTGACTTGAGGGCCGCAATGGGTTCATATATTGGACCCGGGGGCCGGACCAAGAGTAGATGAATTATGTGTATGTGTCATCCATAGTAAGTATAATAATATTCCCCCATAGTAAGCATAGTAATTAATCCCCCATATAGTAATTCATCCCCCATATAGTAATTCATCCCCCCATAGTAATTCATCCCCCCATAGTAATTCACCCCCCCATAGTAATTCATCCCCCATATAGTAATTCATCCCCCATATAGTAATTCATCCCCCATAGTAATTCATCCCCCATATAGTAATTCATCCCCCATATAGTAATTCATCCCCCATATAGTAATTCATCCCCCATAGTAATTCATCCCCCTATAGTAATTCATCCCCCCTATAGTAATTCATTCCCCATATTAATTCATCCCCCATATAGTATTTCATCCCCCCTATAGTAATTCATCCCCCATATTAAGTCCCCAAGTCCCCCCTGTTTCAATTCACTTACCTTTGCTCCGCGCGTTCCTCTCGCCGTGTTCCCACGCCGTTCCGGTGTAGCATGAAAATCTGTCTCCTATGAGGATCTGTCCCTCGACGTATCTGCACATGTGCCAGTTTCAGGTATTAGCAGCCGATCGGCGATCTCCGGCACATGCGCAGATACGTCGAGGGGGACAGATCCTCATAGGAGACAGATTTTCATGCTACACCGTTCTTCAGGGCGGACTGTGAGAGGAGCCTAGCTCCGCGGGCCAGATTAAAAGGTCCGCCGGGCCGTAGTTTGCCCATTGCTGAGCTAGACACAGGCACAGCAGTTTGGAGTGGAGAACTAAGAGAGGAGAAGGAACAAGGAGTTTGCCAGGAGGGATATACCACTGAGGTGGAAACAGCTCTGCGGCCCTGTGAGGGTCAAGGAGGGGAGGTGAGCAGGCATTGCTGCCATTCGGAGCATTTATTTTACACCTAGAAGTGGAGAACACGAGTGGTTTTAAAAGCACAGAGTCACATGCATGGACAATTTTTTTTCACCTATGATGTATATATAATGTGTGCAAATTAGGCACGACATTTTAGTGGTTAATTGATATATTATATGAGTTTTTATTCACTTGTATATTCACTCTTAATTTGATTTGTGGAGTCTTTTTGATTATATGCACTGCAAAATAGTATTTTTCACAGTGTGTGTTAATTCACTATTTTAAATAAGTTTGGTTGCACCATTTTTTTTCCTCCATTAGAGGGAGACATTAGTGTATATTATACAGAGTTGTCACATATTATTATGATATTTATTATAATTTTTGAAGGCACGTTTTATTTTATATTAATTTTTATGTAATGTAAGCGCTTCACTATTTTTCTTTATTTACTACCATAACCTACCACCAAAATAATTTCTCCTGCTCCTGATGATCACAGTGATACCACATGTGTGTATTTTTGTTGTTGTACCCGTAGTACAGCCCAGAAACAATAGTGCGCATTTTTTTTTAATGCTGCCACTAACTGACACTGATACTAATTTAAAAATTAAAAAAAAAAGAACCCTGACCAAAAAAAAAACTGACTCTGACCCTTGGACCCTAACCCTGTCACAGACCTAGATCAAACCTTAATCTAGGTGTTTTTGTTTATATTTTTTTATTATTATTTTTATTTATTACACACAATTTTTTTTCTCTCTGAAAGGACGGAGAGAGATCCATTCAGAGAGATGAAACAAGGGGGGGGCGGGCTTCACAGTGATTGATCACTGTGATAGCCAATCAGAGGCCATCACAGCGATCAGGTGACCCAGATTCGGGGGTTTTGGGTCCCAATCGTGACACCCTGGTCTTTGTGCTGGGAGCGCACCGTGCAAAATGGCGCTTGTGCATATTGCATCCGCCGTTTCGCCGGCATTACTGATCTCGGAAGGTTTTTTGGTACCTTTTTACTGGTGTTACAGCAGCTTATCTATAGTGCTCACCCCAATGAAAAGTCAGCCCAGTTCTCTAGAAACCCAAATCCTTCCCTCTTGCACCAGGTCCTTAGCCATGCGTTTAGTTATCTAATCTCCACCTGTATTTCCTGAGTTGCGTATGGAACAGGTAAATATTTCAGAGAATATCACCTTGGGGGTCCTTCCCTTCAACTTGCAGCCTAGTTCTTTAAATTTATTTTTAGGAACCTCCACCTTCCATGTATTCTGTCATTGGTTCCAACATGGACCAAGACAGCTGGGTCATGCCCAGCCCCTCCCAGTAATTTATCAACCCGGTCCACCACATGCCAAACCCTGGCACCAGGGAAATGGCAAACCATTCGGTTGAGGCGATCCTGTCAACAAATTATTGCTTCTGATTATAGAATACCCTTCTACCACCAACTGTCTAGGCCTTCCTGCACTACCCTCACCACTCCTCCCAGATGGTCTGCCCTACCAGATGATCTGCCCTCCTGGCTGTTAGGGATAGCAGTGAAATCCAGGGCTGCCACCCTTGGGCTTGCCACCCCCACATCTTCACCCAACTTGGCAAATCTGTTTGGGTGCAGAAACCCAGGGCCAGCCTTCCTTTTCTGTGAGCCCCTACCACTCCCTCTCGCTACAGTAATCCATCTTCCTACCTGATAATCCTGATTAGCCCCTCCACATCAATCCCCTTAGCTACCTGCTCAGGGAGCAGAACACCCCTTTCATGGTTGTTGGTTTTGCCCAGTGTTGCCACTTGCTCCTCCAGATTTCTAACGCGAGCTTTCAGAAGGACAACCCGCTCACATTTGTCGCAGCGATATCCATTCTGGAGCTGTTGCTCCATTGTTGCATATAATCAGCACACTGTGCATGGCACAAAACCTTTCAATCCTGCTAACACTCATTATTCCAGTTACAATATTATTACTAACAGGAAATATCAGATGTTACATACAGGTTGGTAGACTCCTGTTATAATCTCCTGTTTTCCACTCCAGTTTTTTAACTCCACTTGATCAAGGGTTCACTTGATCAAAGATCCAGCAAGTCTGTGATCTACAAGTGCATACCTTTACATTTCTCACTACCAGACTTCATCTGCCATGCAGCTGTCCAACCCCCTATTTTATCAAGGTATTCCTGTAATAATGATGCGCTGCCATGTTTGTTTCCCTGCATTAGTTTGTATCCTCAGCACGGCACACACTGAAACTGAGCTCTTAATTCCAATTTATTTATCATCAATAAACTATTTGAACAGCATTGGCCCCAAGACAGAATCCTGGGAGCACACAACTCACAACTTTAGACCATTTAGAGAATAGGTCATTTATCGCTGCTTTCAGGACTCGATCATGTAACCAGTTTTCTGTCCATGTACATATAATTTAATTAACTACTACACACCTTATTTTATTAGGTGTTTATGAGGTGCAGCATCAAATGCTTTAGCTAAATCTGGATAAATTGCATCCACTGGACTTCCACCATCCAATTTCTTACATACTCTCTAATAGAATAGCAGGTTGGTCCGACAAGAACGCTCTTTCATAAATCCATGATACCATTCTCTAAAATACCTTACATAATATTGATGTTAGCCTGACTGGTCTGTAGTTTCCTGGTGTGTGTGTATATATCATGATTCTTTTTTGTAAATTGGTATCACATTTGCTCCAATCAGTTGGTACCAATCCAGTCTGTTAGGTTTGTTTTACTAATTAGAAATCGTGGCTTGGCTATAACTGAGCTAAGTTTCTAAAGTACTTATATGTGTAATCTGTCTGAATCTGGTAATTTGAAGATCAAACCATATGTTTTACGACCAATTGGAGCTGGTGACACAGAGGGGTTTATTTACTAAAGCTGGAGAGTGCTAAATCAGACTCACTTCTGCATAGAAACCAATCAGCTTCCAGGTTTCATTGCCAAAGCTTCATTGAACAAGCTGAGGTTAGAAGTTGGTTGGTTTCTATGCAGAAGGGAGTCTGATTTTGGACTCTCCAGCTTTAGTAAATAAACCCCAGAGGGTCCTGATTAACCCATAACACATTACATGCAGAGTTTCAGAACAAAGCTACTTATAATAAAATATCTGGAGACATACTCATGTAAATCTTGATTTTCTATTTTTTAATTTACCTGTAATTCTGATACCTATGATGTGTTTGTAAGTTAAAACGTTGGTAGTAAATCAATATTATGCTGGATTTTTTCAGTTTGTAGAACACAAATTGGAACTGCCATTCTTACTGTGCAAATCTTTTAGGATTGTAAATATATACGAAAAGAATACAGGCAGGAAGAAAATATCTATCTGTTTTATTTTTTGTTTTTAAAAAACTGTTTTTGTTTTATGAAGTTTGCCATATTTTATATAATGTACCCATCATACCTAGTTAGCATTCATACTGAGTCTGCTAACTTCTTTTATTTCAGACAGTGACTATTTCAAATCTCAAGCGCTGAAGAATGCAGAGGAGGCTTTTAGGATACACCAGGCACAGGTGAGATTCCTATTGTTGTTGTTCATGGGTGGCCCTTTTCCTTAACTAGTTTTATTTTTTGTTGTTACATTTCAGGAAACCATTATTTTCTTTTTTTAGTGTAAGTAGTTATGATTCATATTTTATTGGTCTTCTTTTGAAATTGTGCAACTTTAGCTGATGTACTTTTCAGAGTAGTTATCATGGGGAGGAAATATTTACCCAAAATTAATTATGTTCCCCTCAACATAAATTATGTTCCCCCCAACATTTTCTATTATATCTTCTATAATAAAGGTGCCCACACTTTAAACATACCATAACACCCTCTGATTAGCATCTGGAGCCTGTTCTGGTAATATGAAAGGCAGGTATACAGAAAGCATAATAATATGTAAACAAACAGAAATTAGGCTTACAAGTAGTCTTTTCATTTTATTGAATATTGTCCAATTTTGGAATCAGAATATGGGACACAGTGTTTGCCTCCTACATTTAATCACAAAGTCTAGCACACCTAGATGCATTGATTCATCTTCCTTCTTATACATAATTTGTTATTCGCTATAATTGCGTATGAGAATTTTACTTTTTGTTTTTGAAGTGGATCTTCACTCACATATAAGACATTTAATAATCTCCCCCCTCCCCCTCTCTGTTACACATTTTAGAATTTTTTTATTTTGTTTTTAGGTAAAAAGTACTTCTTCCAGCAGGTACTTACTCCCATTTCCTTATTCCTTGCCTAGGCGAGGATGATGTTCCCTGCAGCCTCCTGGGAAACACATCACATATCCAAAGAGGCTACAGCACCAGTCTCCTTGCACCCCCTGACCTGGCACATGTGTAGTAGGGAGCTGCCTGCTACTGATCAGGAAGTCAGAGTTGGCTCCTGAATCCAAGATGGTGGCATAGAACTGAAGAATTCAGTTTTTTTTTCTTTTTTTTAGGCTAGAGCTGGACTCAATGGACTCACATGCACATGGGTTTTAAAAGTCAGCAGCTACAGTAATTGTACCTGCAGACTTTTATATTTTTCAATATAGAGTGAAGTTCCTCTTTAAGCCTTGTTAATCAGAGCACTAGAGCTTGAGGATCATAAGTCACACAGCACTTATTTTTAGACATATGCTACTTTTTAGACAAGATCGTTTGATGAAGATGCCAAGGAAAGCAGAGCGGCAGCTCTACGGGTGGCTGAATCAAGCTTTGGAGAGAGTTACAGTCTGGCTAATCCATCGATAAGAGCAGGAGAGGATATTCCCCAGCCCACAATTTTCAGTGGGAAACTTAAAGGCTACCAACTTAAAGGCATGAACTGGCTGGCAAATCTTTATGAACAGGTGAGGTAAAAGCACTGATTGCTTAATGAATTGTGAATAATTCCATTGTATTCATTATTTAAAGGATTCAACAATGTTTTTTTGTATGTTATGCTCCAACTTCAATGAACAACAAAAAGTAGCTTAAAATGCCACTTGGTTGCATGATTTCAGATATGAGTTGTGTGAACTTTCACTGAGATTTGTATAATAACTTATTTAATAGAGTATCTAAATTATTTTCATGTGCTTTCTCTGCACAGTTCTTTCTCTAACAGGCTGCCTCTAGATATGATTGAATCAATTGCATCACAAGCACAACTAAAGTAGTTAATGGCCATAACATATTTTTGTCCTTGCAGGGTATTAATGGAATCTTGGCTGATGAAATGGGCTTAGGGAAAACTGTGCAGAGCATTGCTCTGTTGGCTCACTTGGCTGAGGTAAGGCTATTTGTTTCTTTAGGATTATGTTTCAATTGTTGAACCATTAGTAGAAGAAAAAGAATAATGTACATACATTAAGAAATTGGGCTCATTTTATGAAGTTATTTTGCAGTATATTCCTCATAGCAGTTTAGGGTTCTAGCAAGTCATCATATGTATTTCTCTTTAAGGGGTACAGGGTTGAAACACATTTGAGTTATACTGCTGCCTACTGGAGTAGCTGGACACTGGAAAGCAAAAAAATAATGACCAGCCTGGTATATCCTCAGCAATGGCTTTGAAAGCTGTGCCTGAGCCCTTTGAAAGCTGTGTCTGGATGAGTGCAGCACCTGCCTGAAATGTAACCTTCTGGCAATGGGTTCCTCATTGTGGCACTTGCCACACCTTTGTGTATTTTGTTAGTTAGCAGTGGAGCACTTTCCATGTCCAGAGTGAAGGCACAGCTTCCCAGAGTCCAAAGAAGTCTCATTTTGTTAGTAATCTGTGTGGATCGGGCCGCACATGTTTACTAGAACCATTGGACACCATTATTATTCCTATCTTCCATTAATTTTCTACAAAAAAGTTAAAATACTGAGCAACAAAAAAGTTAAAATACTGAGTGCTGCACTACTAGATGGAGTTTTGCACACTCACTCTGCACTCTTTGTCAGAGCACTTCCTATTCATTCATCTGTGCAGCTGAGGCTGCAGAGAAATGAACTGAGAAATCTTTTCTCATTCCCTTTCTATGTCTCAAAAGTGAGACATTAGGGGTCTGTTTAGACCTCTGATATTTCACCAAAGCCCCCCAAGAGTGCTGTTAGAAAAATGTAAATAAATAAACAAAATTCTAAAGAAAATGTAATAAAAAAAATAAGGTCATGTTAACATGTGCTTTGCTCTATGAGGAGCAGGCAATATTTGGATCACTCTTCAGATGGCATTTAAGAAGGGGTGAGGAGGTAGCTTGGTGAGCGCTAAAAGAGCATCTCAGTTGTGGGGCTTTACCACCCCCCAACCTCACATGTAAATGAGCACTAAGCATTCATTCACACAGTTACTCTGGCCATTTGAATGAATGGATTGTTCATGCGGCTGGAGCCACCTGTTACTCAAAGGGGACACAGGGACTGTACAAGCACAGCCTCAGGCCCTAATATGACAGGTGTGCAGGCATGGGTGAGTAGACCTGAATATACACTGTGTTCAGGGCTGTACATCTGCATCCACACGCCTGTCAAATTATAATCTGTAATTGTACATTCATACAGCTTCAGGCGCATAAACAAACCACCGATTCATACTGTAGAGGCCACAGCACCCATGTGAATGAGCCCCAAGACCTCTTTCACGCACTTTATTTATTAACTCAGTACAGTTTAATTGTTTAGATTAGGGCAGAAATTTAGTTGTGTTTGTGTCCACCAATAATAATTTAGTGTATTGTTAGGAAAAATATAACTTGGGCCCCCATGATTTCTAACATCAGTCCTGCTACTGATAATGGGTAATTTTGAGAATAGAAGGGTTTTTTTTTTACCTTAATGCAGAGAATACATCAAGGTAAAAAAAAAACAAAAAACCTTTAGCCTTTACAATCACTTTAATACTGATGGTAAAATTGTGGCAAACGTTTTGGCATGAAGGTTGTAGTCGGTGAATACTATGCTAACAGGAGCCAATTAAACTGGCTTTATACCATGTAGGGGCACTCAGATTAATTTTAGGAGGTTGTTTGGTAATCTTCAAGTAACACATGCTAATTCCAACTCAAGAGTGATAGTGTCATTAAACACAAAAAAGCCTCCAGTTTAATTGAGTGGGCATATCTTTTAACCCACTGCTGGATAAGTTTGGATTTGGACCAGTCTCTGTGTCCTGGGTTAATCTGTTATATCAAGATCCCTCTGCTACATTTAACGTTAATGGGGTCATTACTGATCCTTTTCCAAAATACAGGGACACAGGCAGGCTTGCTCTTTATCCCCTCCCATGTTTGCACTAGCAGTTGAGCCATTGGCTCCAAAATTCTGAAAAGATACTCAAGTGCAGGACCTATGCATAGGTAACTTCAAAGAATATGTATCTCTGTACGCAGATGATATGCTACTATATTTGAATGATCCACACTCCTCGCTGACTGCTGCCTTCTCGTTAATTAAGGAGTTTGGGGATTACTCAGGGTTCAAAATAATTTGGGCAAAATCTACATTTTTACCTTTTGACAATCAACTGAATTTGGATGCTGCTCTATTTTGTCCTATCCCAGTTTCTGATAAATTCAAATATTTGGAAATCACCATACAATTCCTTATAGCTTTGTCTACGCATAAAACTCTTTAGCCAGTTATCCAAAATGTTAGGGAAAATCACATAAATGGAAAGATCTTCTGCTGACTCTTCTGGGTAGAATTAATTTATTTAAGATTTTTTTTTTTAATTTGTCTGTGGAAACTTCTATATATTCTTGCCAATGCCCTGAAGTTACTGAGTTCATAGCTGATGCCTTTGACCTTCCAAATGTACAACGTGTATGTAATCCGTTAATAGATCAATTGGGAATTGTTGAGGGTAAAACAATGAATAGTGCTACAAAGCAGTTTTTAAGGATCCTTTCTTTTTCTGTGTCAGAAAACTAATAGCGCTGAACTGAATACATACTGACAACATTAGTATAGGGGCTTAGAAGACATTGGTGACAATGATATTCCCCTACATAGAAGGCCATACAAAGTCAGAGGATGCCTCCCAAAAATTTGCAAAAATATGGTCCTAACAGGTAGACTCTACTGACACTTTGGTAATGTTGCCCTAGGGGAAAGATACTGATAAATTAAACTGCCTGCATATAAGGTCTTTGAGAAAGCAGACCAAATGGTTTGGGTATGATACATGCGGTACAATGCGGTTCTGCAGCAGAGCAGTGATACCATGAACAATGATATGGAGTGTGAAAGAATATAATACAATCCAAAGTGTTTTCTTGTTTTTGTGAGGCTAGTTATTATTTAACATTTACAGACATAAAATTGCTTGCTATGTGTTGAAATAAATATAGGCAATGTATACTGTGCAACTTTATTGATGTGGTTATACATATTTTGTCTTATTTTGTCTCTAGTAATTGTTGCAAGTCATCTCTTTTTGCAGCGTGCATTGTTATCCTGTCTATTACTTGCATATGGCAATAAAAAAACATGTAGAAAAAAAAAAAAAACACCATTTAGAGCTTAGTCTCAGGTGGATGACCAGGATGGATGCATTACACCACAGGTTACACTTTTACCACCACTTCCACCCAAAGACCTTGTAAGGTATTCAGGCACTTCCTCCCTTCCTTTTGCTACGAGAACTTCGCTAAAATACAGTCGACATCTGCTTACTGTGCATCTTTCTACGGTCATGCATATCCCATTTCTATACCCTACTTCAGGAGTACCCCACATAGGAACACTTTCACTGATCACAATGGTGGAAACCAGGCACAAGGGAAACGCAGCAAAAAGTAAGGCAAACACCCACTCTTTCGAAGAGATGCAAAACACTCAACCGCTAAGAGTGACAATATTTCACTGGCACTAGAGCAGGACCCTATTTTAACATTGATCTCTTCATCCAATTGTAGCTCTCTTTTAGGCACGCAACATCAAGCCCATCTGTCCAAGGCAGATTTCTCTACAACTAAGAGACTTTCTTGGACAGCCAACAGCTTTAATACACCAGCCGTACCCAACTGGCCCACAAAAACCTGGTATACAGACAAACTACTTAGAGGACCTTTGTCCTCTTCCAAACAGGCCTGACCTGCTGTCTCAATGCCTTCTGTTTTTTCCTGATTCTCAGTCACTGGTCTTAATGGCATGGCTGTTGAAACCCTGCTCTCAATTGACAGGGAAATCGCTGACTCCTGTCATGTCAATCCAACATTACTCAGAACCAGATCCACTTCAAGAAAAAAATTCTTGCTGTACCTGGAATCATTTTTCATCTGGTGTGAACACAGGTTTTTCAACCCCAGGGATTTCTTCACTGCTTCACATTCTGGCCTTCCTAAAATCAGGACTTTGGCTTTAAGTACTCCTAATGGACAGGTTTCAGCTATATCCATTCTTTTCCTTTATTCAAGGTGTCTTTTGGATCAAACCCCCATTACAGCACCCTGTGCTTCCCTGACTCCTCGGTTTGGTTCTCTCAATTCAGCAGAAACTACCTTTTGAACCCATTAAGGAAACCTTGAGTGATCTCTCCTGAAAATGACCTTCTTGGTGGTTATCATATCTGTCAGACGTGATTCTGAGTAACTGTCTCCCACTTGTAAAGTGCCTTTCCAGATTTTTTACAAGGATAAAGTGTTCATGCGTCCAAGACCCACTGTTCTAATTAAGTTCTTAATGAGGACATAGTCCTTCATTCTTTGTGCCCTGCTCCAAAGCACCCCAAAGGAATTGCTTTTCATTGTCTAGTACATGGTCATTGATTTGTCATAGTCTGACAGCCATTGCCTCTATCTGAAAAACAGATTCGTTCTTTGTCTTGCCAACAGGGTCTCGTAAAGGACACCCTGCTTCTATGTCCACTGTTGCTAGGTAAATAAGACAACTCATTTTGAGAGCATATGCTCTCAAAGGTAAGGTACCTCCAGTACCTTTTACATGCTCACTCCACCAGATCTACTAGGTAGATAACTTGACCTCTGTGGATGCAGCCTTCAGCTGCAAAATTCTGTCAGCTGCGCTCTGAGTTGGGCCTTTGACTTTTGTTTTTGTTGAACCTGTTGGTGCTGTTCTGTTTGCTTTGTTGTTGGTCACCTCTCTGTTTCATTGCTTGGGGATGTCCCAGGGTCTTTGAATATCCAGCCTGTGTCCTGTACAATACAATTAATATTATAGGAATTTTTATTTACCTGTATATTCCATATCCTGGAGTACAGTACAGGACACAGGCCTCTACATCGTTTGCTAAAAACTGAGGACTTGCAGAGTGGGGTGGGATTATATGAATGTGCCCAGCAAAGCCTTTGTCAGTGTCTAATCACTTGAAGAGAACATCGTATAACCCAGAGTCTATGAATATCCAGCCTGTGTCCTGTACTATGTGCCAAGATATGGAATGTACAGGTAAGTCAAAATTTCTATTTATCTCTGCTATCATTAGGGAAATGGACTAAACTCATTGGAAAATAGCTAGATTCTCTCCCCACTGATCCCCTATTTTTGAAGCACTTAGAGATCATGCCAGCAGCTCTGAACTACTACAAAGATGGTTTAGATGGTTTCCCCTCCTGTTTCTCAAATGAGTCTGTCATCAGCGAGCATGCAGAGAACTCGTTGATTAAAATGTTAGGTTGTGGAGCAGACATGTAAAAAACATACACTGTTCATGCCATCTTCGAGACTATGGCTCCTGAGTTTCCTTTGACTCTCTCATTAAGGATGTCACTGAAGGTAATAATTCTCATTTACCCCAGCAGAGAAAGCCTAGGCCTTAACCTAGGAAGACTTGCTATGTCCCTATTTTGCTAGCACAGCAACAATTCCTTTGCTCTGCTTTGGGTATCCAAAGCTTCCAGTCTGTGGCTCTGCTATTCAGCCTATCTTTGCACCCCTGTGTGTTCAGCAATGTTCTAGCCCCTGTGCTTGACTGCATTGGCAGTCCTCAGTACAAAAAGTTTAACTCCACCTAAAGTGGTGTTGAGCTTTAAGAATGTTATTACTGTGACTGTTATCCATTGTGCTTTCTGTGGCACTGACATGAAACACACATACAAATGAAGAATTCTGACACTTTTTTCCTTTACTTTTTTAAAACTTGCTTTCTGAGTCCAACCAGACACAGTCAAGCAAGAAGCATTTCTAAGGGGCCAGCAATTTAAGTCCCCCTTTTTTTCTTAGAACTGGTATACTTTAAGCCCTGATCCCTGTCGTTCAGCTTTCAAATACCAGATCATCTATTGCCCACTGAAGCTCTGTCAATTGGAATTTGAATGATGGGTGAACTTAATCTCAACTTGGAGAAAAGCAAGGCCCAGTGTGCTTCTTGGTCTTGTGTTTCAGGGGATACCCAAGAACATATGGATCAATGTAAAGACTTACATTTGTACATTCAGGCAAAACAAGGTGAAGGTGTTCACATGTCACTGTGTTGTTCGTCTATTTGGAATAATAAAGTCAGGTACCCATCCCACAGGTGAATGATAGTTTTGATGTCAACGTTCACTTCATTGTGAACTCAATGTTATTTATTTATAATAAAAAGTCTTTTGTTCCTTTATACAGAGAGAGAATATCTGGGGTCCTTTTTTAGTTATTTCACCTGCCTCCACACTGAACAACTGGCATCAAGAATTTTCAAGATTTGTGCCCAGGTTCAAGGTAAGGGGAGGGAGATATTTCATTATCCATGCAATCATGCTTAATAAACATTTGAAAGATAAAATCATCAATGCACTGGATTATATATGCATCAATAAAGCCAACACTATTACACCATGGCATCCAGAGATTTTTAAAAAGCCGATCAGGTGGAAATTGAAGGTCATGGAATTGATGTTAAAGTGTTACTAAACCCACAACAGTAAAATCAATCTGTATATGCAGCATAGCATGCTTGTTATACCCACTGTGGAACCTAAGGAGTTAGTCCTCCACATTCTGTAAAAAGGCTGTTTGATTCTGTCTTACATTGTAACATAGTTTGGCTGAACAAAGACAAAAAACCATCCAGTTCAACTAGAAAAAAAAAAAGTTATAATCCTATACCCACAGTTGATCCAGAAGAAGGCAAAAAAAAACAGGAAAGCATGATCCAATTTGCTCCTGCAGGGGAAAAAATGCCTTCCTGATCCTGCGAGAGGCAATTGGATATTCCCTGGATCAACTTTACCTATAAAAGTTAGTATCCAGTTATATTCTGTTCTGTGTATCCAGGAAAGCATCCAGGCCTTTTTTAAAGCAATCCACTGAGCTGGCCAGAACCAACTCTTGAGGGAGTCTATTCCACATTTTCACAGCTCTCACTGTGAAGAAACCTTTCTGTGTTTGGAGATTAAATTTCTTTTTTTCCAGACGTAGAGTGCCCCCTTGTCCTCTGTGATGACCTCAGGGTAAATAACTCTACACCGAGTTCACTATATGAACCACTGATGTATTTATACATGTTGATTATATCCCCCCTTAATCTCCTCTTCTCAAGAGAGAATAAATTCAGTTCCTTCAATCTTTCCTCATAGCTGAGCTCCTCCATGCCTCATATCAGTTTGGTTGCCCTTCTCTGTACTTTCTCTTACTTTCTCTAGTTCTCCAATGTTCTTTTTGTGAATTGGTAACCAAAACAGAACTGCATATTCCAGCTGAGGTCTTATTAATGATTTGTACAGGGTTAAAATGATATCTCTCTCTCTGGAGTCTATACCTCATTTAATACAAGAGAGGATTTTGCTCACTGTAGAAATCGCAGCTTGGCATTGCATGCCATTATTAAGCTTGTGATCTACCAGAACCCCCAGATCCTTCTCCACCATTGATTCCCCCAGTTGTACCCCCCCCCCCCCTTCCCGAGTATGCATGATGCATACATATTCTTAGCCCCCAAGTGCATAACCTTACATTTATCAACATTAAACCTCATTTGCCACATAGATGCCCAATTAAACAGTGCACTGAGGTCGGCTTGTAAGTTGAAGACACCCTGTAATGACGTTATTCCACTGCACAGCTTGATGTCATCCGCAAAGACTGAAATGGTATTTATAATCCCAGACCCTATATCGTTTTATAAAATATATTAAAAAGTAATGGTCCCAACACTGAACCTTGGGGTACACCACTGACAACCCTAGACCATTCAGAGTATGAATCATTAACCACTACTCTCTGAAATTGGTCTTTTAGCCAGTTTTCTATCCATTTACATACGGTCTTCTCTGATCCTCCCTTTTTTTCTACTGTTCCCAATCCATCTGCTGATAGTACAAAGCTCTAGGACATGCTCAGTTTAGTGTGTAAACCAAGAACAACAGAGCGCTCATGGTGAAAGCCAAAGTGATGATACAATGACATACACAACAAACAGTCAATATGTCCGATTCCAATGCTTTAATAGATCGATAAAACCATAATAACCATATTCCAGGAATCCCATGTAGTAATATGGCACTAAATGAAAACTGGCACAAGTTACATGCACAAGGAGTACTGTGACAAAAGTGGATTGACTGTGACAAAGCATTGATTCGTGTGAAACGCATCCTCATGGTAACCAGATTTGTTTTGGCCATTCCCACTCCAGCTGAGGGTTTCATGGTGGCTGTCGCTGGCTTCCCTGAATTTCACTGAGGTCACTTCCAGTATTCGATCTTTGGTGACACCGAGGAGGTCTTCCTGGTCTCTCAAGTGATACTACATCGGGCTATTGTTTTGTGGATATACTCCTTACCATCTGTTGCCCTTCTTCCATCCTTTGAGTTCAGCAACTCTCCACAGCCATGTCATCGTCTCAGTAAGTCGCTCCCATTACTCCTTTTCAGCATGTGACTTGTGCCAATTTTTCATTTAGTGCCATATTGCTACATGGGATTCCTGGAATATGGTTATTATGGTTTTATCGATCTATTAAAGCATTGGAATTGGACATATTGGCTGTTGGTTGTGTATGTCATTGTATCATCACTCTGGCTTTCACCACAAGAACTCTGTTTTTCTTGGTTTATCTATATCACATCCTAATGGTCATCGGAGCAGCTGTGGGACCAGCCTCCTCCTCCTCCCTCTCCCCCTTTTTGTCTTGCTTTACCCAGTGTTGGTTGTGGGATTTAGCGCCTAGTGGTTTGTTTGTTTCAGTGTAGTGTGTATTGCTAGAGAGTTTTTTTTTTTCTTTTGGGAGGGTGAGATCAACACAGGGCCAATCAGCACTGTCCAGACAGAGGGTCAGGGGTTATGCAGTCATAAGACTGCTATATACTGCTAATGAGAAAAGGTATTTGCCAGTTTATATTTCCTAAAATAATTGCATTCCCATGTTGTGTGTACTGTGGGAGAACAGATATAGTGAATGCCGGGTCATGGGTTTAGGAAAACTTTATAATGGGAATGTTCCACCTATTCTTCCCTCCTGAAATTAGGGAATCATAAAGACTTAAACGGCCAAACAAGGGGCGCAACGGCTTAGTGCATTACCATTATAGTTTATTGAACTTAAAAACAAGTGAGCACACACTCACGAACACCAAAATTGGAAAGTGTGATACAGAGCACAGAAACCTCAATGGTGATCCTGAAGATGGAACTCACAGGGTGTAAACGTATAATAATATGTATATTTACACCCTATGAGTTCCATCTTCAGGATCACCATCACGTTTTCTGTGCTTTGAATCACACTTTCCCATTTTGGCATCTTTGAGTATGCAGTCACTTGTTCTTAAGTTCAATAAACTATAACAGTAATGCAAAAGGTCGTTGTGCCCTTTGTTTGCTTATATATGTATCAATATTGATGCATTTTCTTTTCATATTGTACTTTTTACATTTTTGTTTAGCGCATATAATGTCAAATATATTTATGCAAGGCCTGTTGTATTTAGAGAAAAAATATACTTTTTTTCTGTGTATTTAAGTTTGCACAATTTGTAAACTGACATTGTATAACATGCTTAAAATTATTATATGAAAAATCGTACTGGTAAACATTTATCCATGATGCTTAGTTTGCAAAGCATTCTTCGCTTTCTAATATCACAGCCCAGCATGGACCCTTGTCCTTTTCATTCCTTAGTCATTCATCAATTAGTGCAATTTAATTTCTTCTGCTATTCAAGTCTGCTTCACAGAACAGCAGTAGAAAGAGCTTGCCAAAAACTGACGAGACAGCCTGGAACTTGCCTGCTGCAGGCAGCATGTGGTAAATATGAAATGTTTGTACCTAATATTTTATATTCACCTGATTGAAAAGATAGAAATTAAAAAAAAATTTGTTACAGAATATGATTCATGATAAAAAAAATATATATACAACTATATATAATTTTTGTGTTGCATTTTAGGTGCTACCATACTGGGGCAACCCTCATGAAAGGAAAGTCATCAGGAAGTTTTGGGGCCAGGTCAGAATCAATAAAACATTTGTGTTATTTTATTTCCCTGTACTTAATTTTAAAGTTAAATTTTACTTGCTGTTCAAAATTATTTTTACAGGTGTACAGTGTATTTATTTTTATGCCTGTAAATGCACATCTATGTAAGCCTATGTGGCCATGCACATCAGGCATTTAGATCAGTATTTTAGGAGCAACATTTTTAGGAGTAAAAAAACAACTCACAAAAACTGCATTCAGAGACGAGCTTATGAACATAATTTATGTACATGTATTCAAATGGGCAATATAAATTCATATTTTGGCCATATGAACAGGTACATTTATTTTTATTTATGAATTATTTATTTCAGGTATTTTATATAGCGCTGTCAATTTATGCAGTGCTTTACAGATATTGTACATTCACATCAGTCCCTAACCCTCAAGGGGTGCACAATCTAAGGTCCCTAACTCAGATTCATACATACACATACTAGGGCCAATTTAGACAGGAGCCAATTAACCTACCAGCATGTCTTTGGAGTGTGGGAGGAAACCCACGCAGGCACAGGGAGAACATGCAAACTCCAGGCAGGTGGTGCTGTGGTTGGGATTTGAACCAACGACTCTAGTACTGCCAGGCAGAAATGCTAACCATTTAGCCACTGTGCTGCCACACACATGCAAAATTAGAGGCATTTTTTTCTGCCACTTGTGGCAGAAAAAATTTGCCATATTTGGAGCATAAATTCAAACGCCGATGTGCATGAGGCCTTAAGCATATCTGAGCCCAAAACCAAAAATATAATATATTGCAACAGTAGACTTTTTTTCTTTTTTAGCTGCTTTTGTACTTCCTGTTACGTCATGGCTACACTGTATCCATAGAGGGAGCCACTGTTGTTACACAGGTTGAACGTCAAACATGTCTGCCTTTGTTCAACAAATTTACATCTGGGGTGATGTGATTAATGGTTTACACAAGAAAGATACGATTGTTTTTGGTTCCAGTTCACCTCAAAGGAAGTGGCAAGGATACTGCATTTCTGGCAAGATTAACAGGTATTTTCTGTGCTTGCTAAAATGTTCTTAGCCTGAATTGAAAACTACCACATCTAAGGACAGGTAAGCTGCAATATAGTATTTTTTGTTTTTGGCTTTAGTTATGCTTTATGTGACTTTTCCTCTTGAGAAAAGCTTTGCATAGTAGCTTTGAAATCCTTAAAAAAACATTTTCTTGAGTTCACTTTGTTTATTCTTCATATGTTGATTTTTTTTTTTTTTTTTTACTGCGGTATAGTTTTAGATTGTCTTTTTTTTTTATTAGTGCAAGCAATGTTGAACTAATCTAATGTCTAATTCCCTTGAGCTAATTATGTTCTTTCAAATGTACTTTTCCATAACTTTAAGCTCTCTTGGACATGACTTTTTGACCTGCATTGCTATTAGGCTTCCCTGCTTTGTAGTTTCTTCAGTACTTCAGACATTCCCCCATCTGCTCCAGAACATTTTATGTTAAAAAAACTAGGTTACTGTGCTTATTGAAATACAGATACATTTGTGTTAATAGTATCTTAAATAGGAGGTAGAACACAAAAAACAATCTACCTTCCTCTCTCAGGCGTCACAAAGTGTATTTTAGGAAAACTCATACAAATGAGCGCAGAGAGGCCACTCCAGGTGGAAACATGTGAACAGTTAATCATGAGTTCACCACTGCTGCCTTGTTAATCATATGCATGATGAAGAGAACTGGAAAAATAGGTGCTGTGGAAAATGCTCTCAGACAAGCACCTTAGTGAAGGTGCATCTTTATTGGGCGAGACAAAGTAGCAAATATAATAAAATTAATTAACCAGCCTAAAGTGGACAGTGTGACTCCAGTAGACAGCAGGAGACTTGACAGAGCGCAACTGCGCGAAACATGTCGTCTTGGTAACCCTACATATGTTCCCAGCTGAAGCCAACGCTGGACACTGCCTTCGCTTGCCATGGTGACACCACCCAGGACGCTGGTACGCTGACACCACGTGATTTGAAGCTGACAGGAGCATTCTCTGATCTCAGCTCCCCTCAGAGCGGACGGGCCGTCCATTGGAGTCACACTGTCCACTTCAGGCTGGTCAATTTTATTATATTTGCTACTTTGTCTCACCCAATAAAGATGCACCTTCACTAAGGTGCTTGTCTGAGAGCATTTTCCACAGCGCCTTTTTTTTCCAGTTCAGAAAGTGAATTTTATTCTGCTCAAATGCTAGTACTTGGTTTCCTTGCTGTGGAAATGTAAAAAATTTAAGAAAAGTATTTTATACTTTTTGATTTTGACCTCACTTTGCCCATTCAGGGTATCGTTTCGTTTAAAAGGACTCCTTCCTGTCACACTTATACTCAGTGCTCCCCTGCTGCTTAATTCCTCAATTTTTGGAGCTGGAAATCAAACCTTGTTTATGCTGTGTGTAACCTCAGAGCTTACACTAGGTTATGTCAGTTTTCTCTGACACTGCACTGAGTTAAACACTGCATTGTTGAAGAGTCTCTTTATTAAAACCATATACAGTTATGTTCAAAATAATAGCAGTGTGTTGAAAAAAGTGAATAAAGCTCAAAATCCTTCTAATAGCTTTTATTTCCATACACTCAAATGCATTGGGAACACTACACATTCTATTCCAAATCAAAACATAAAGAAAAATATATCAAATTTGTGTTGTTCCTCTAAAAAAATTGAAGAAAAGTGAATATTAGACTGTTCAAAAAAATAGCAGTGTTTGTATTCTTCTTTACAAACTCAAACATTCACTATATAAACTGAAAAATGTTTGAAGATTTTGCTTTCCTTTGAATCACTTAATGAATATTTAGTTGTATAAGCACTGTTTCTGAGAACTGCTGTACATCTGTGTTGCATGGAGCCAACCAACTTCTGGCACCTGTGAACAGGTATTCCAGCCCAGGATGATTGGACTACATTCCACAGTTCTTCTCTATTTCTTGGTTTTGCCTCAGAAACTGCATTTTTGATGTCACCCCACAAGTTTTCTATTGGATTAAGATCCAGGGATTGGGCTGGCCACTCCATAACATCAATCTTGTTGGTCTGGAACCAAGATGTTGCACGTTTACTGGTGTATTTGGGGTTGTTGTCTTGTTGGAACACCCATTTCAAGGGCATTTCCTCTTCAGCAGAATGACCTCTTCAAGTATTCTGATGTATTCAAACTGATCCATGATCCCTGGCATGCGATTAATAGGCCCAACACCGTAGTATGAGAAAAACATCCCCATGTCATGATGCTTGCGCAACCATGCTTCACTGTCTTCACAGTGTACTGTGGCTTGAATTCAGTGTTTGGGGGTCATCTGACAAACTGTCTCCGGCCACTAGACCCAAAAAGAACAATCTTACTTTCATCAGTCCACAAAATGTTGCGCCATTTCTCTTTAGGTCAGTCAATGTGCTCTTGGGAAAATTGTAACCTCTTCAGCACGTCTTTTTTTCAACAGTGGGACTTTGCGGGGGGCTTCTTGCAGATAGCTTGGCTTCACATAGGCGTCTTCTAATTGTAACAGTACTCACAGGTAACTTTAGACCTTCTTTGATCTTCCTGGAGCGGATTGTTGGCTGAGTCCTTGCCATTGTGGCTATTCTTCTATCCATTCGAATGGTAGTTTTTCACTTTCTTCCACGTCTTTCAGGTTTTGGTTGCCATTTTAAAGCATTTGCGATACTTTTAGCTGAGCAGCCTATCATTTTCTGCACTTCTTTATATGTTTTTCCCTCTTCAATCAACTTTTTAATCAAGGTACGCTGTTCTTCTGAACAATGTCTGGAACGACCCATTTTCCTCAGAATTTCAGAGAGAAATGCACTGTAACCAGCATGTACAACATTTGCTGCCTTCCTTCCTTAAATAAGGGCAATAATTGCCACCTGTTTTTCAAAGAATGAATGACTTCACTAATAGAACTCCACACTGCTATTATTTTGAACATGCCCCTTTCAATTAGTGATTCAATTACACAGAATCAGCAGCCTGCATGTCATGACTGTTGGGTCTGTTAGATTGCTATTACTCTACTACGCCTGCTAGTAAATTATTTGCCATGTAGAAATATAATTTCTACCAAAAACAGTGATTGATCAGGTTAGTGATGTCTGACTGCTATTATTTTGAACACAACTGTATGTCCTAATATATATATATATATATATATATATATATATATATATATATATATATATATATATATATATATAATGTCCTAATATATAGTATGCTGCAAATAATAAATTTTTTTTGTAAATTGGCTTACATTTTTTATATTGATGTCAGTTAAGGGACACAGGAATTTTAGAAATTTTCAAACAGCCAGGTAATATTGCTGACATCAGGAGATTAAGACACTGGCAAACCAGAAAGCATTAAGCCAGCCCCAGTAAAACTCAACCTCCAACCATCATGCATCATGTTTTGTGTGAAAGCAGTTAATAAGGACAATAACACAGTAAGGCATGACTTGTATCCCTCAATGGACTTCAAGAAAAAGATTTTTACTGTAAGTAAAAAAATCTTATTTTCCTTATCTATTGGGACACAGAAATTGTAGAAACTCCTAAACAGTCGGAACATTCAGAAGCAGCCCAATTGAAGGGTGGGCAAAAGCCACTAAGAGATCCAACAAAATGGACAATCTGCAATAGTTAGAAGTAATTAACACCTGAAAGTAGGTTGGGTAAAAAAGGGACATTTATTTTATAAATTGCCATGACCAAGGAGAGAGGACACTGAGGGTCAGCCTTGTGATCAACCAGGACAGCTAAATACCACTAAGGGGAAGTGGTACCAGAAGTAGTTTTGGATCTCAATCAGCCAATAAAGGAACAACAATCCACCAAAACACAGGTGGAATAACATACAACCTGAGCAGGAAAAAAATGGAATAGCAACTAAGGTGGTCAACAAAACATGTTTACTGGGCCAAACCATGTGGTAAAGAGTAGTAGACATGTAGAGAGCACTTCACCT